AGAGTCTTTAGGTCTGAAAAGGCAGCAGCGGATTTTGAAGCTGAGGGCCAGCTGAAAGGGGGCAATTTTGATGTGATTTAAGCTCAGCAGGTACAGCTTGTCCCAGGGAAAAGGTACCTGGCACACATGGAGGATTCCTCCTCAGCACTGCCCCTGCTTCCTGCTGCGCTGTGCCAGGCACTGAGCTCCTCCTGGTCAAGCACAAACACGGCACTAATGGAAGATCCTGATTAGCCCCACAGCCTGGTGTTTGCTGGGTGAGCCAGGGGCACAGCACCCCTCAGGATCCAGCACCAAGCAGCAGGTGATCATCTCCCCTAAGCCCTGGGACCCCCAGAGCTGGTGCTTGGTAGGGTAAAAACTCCGAGCCCAAGTCCCTCCTGCCTGCCATGCCATGTCAGCTCACTGCCTAACCTGGGGAGTGTTGGGAGAGCACCCAGAGACCTCAGACTTAACCGGTGATGCCTGGCCTGGAATTTGGAGAGCGAAGCGCAAAATTTCTAATATAGGCAATAAACCCCCATGAGGCGTTTGTCAGTTGGGAAATAATTGCAGGCAGCTGCCTGTTCCCAAAGCATGTTGGAATCCTGGTTGCACAATCTGGGCAGCGGCAAGCCCTGCTCTGCAGGGCCACTGGCCTCCTTAAAAAAGTCCTGAGTGAAATCACTCTGATAAAACTAAAACAAAACCAGCCGACGCTGTTGGTTAAAGAAATGTAGCTTGGGGCTCAAATAAATCTGTTTGTGCTCTCCTGCCATGCCATGCCAGGCAAAATTTTGTTGCACGAGTGCCTGTTCCAGATAAAGAGATGTAAGTGATGTAAAGCAGGGAGGGCAAGCGATTGTGTTTGCTAAACTTGCCCAGGGCTTTGGAGGGGCAATTACAGCGCTGGCAATATAATGATTGTCTGCCTGTGTAAATAAATTGGCAAATTTTACTGCAACCTTTGTGATGCTTCCTGGCTCTCTGTCTCGCTGTCATTCTCCAAGGCCTTCCCTGCTGAGCACTGGGCTCCATTTCCTTCAGATTCAAAGAAAATCTAGGTCTCTGCCCACAAAGTGTTCGCACAGAGCCGCTGGCCTTGAGAACACCCGGGCAAGCAGACAGCTCTGGGGGTAAGGAGGGCTGCTGGCAGCACCTTCCGTCTGTGTGGCTCCAGGATTCATCATCCACCTTATCTGGACAGCAGAAGTTTTATTTTAGAGCAAAAAGGTAACTTAAAGACAGCCTGGGTAAAGCAGGACTGAACAATCTGGATAGATCTCACTACCTAGAGCAAGGCAAAACACTTCATATCTCTGTATTAAAGCCAAGTCTGCAGTGACCGAGGGGACAGCCCTTCCTGAAAACCAGTGTGTGACAGTCAAATCCAGCTCAACATAATTATATTCTTCCCTCCTACAATCTCCTCTGCCAGCCTGGATAATAGCTCTGTTTTTAAGTCTTCTGACCCAGATTGCGCTATCACTCCTCCCGGGAGCCACTTCTGGGGCAGTTTATCTCAGAGCATTGAGGACAAGGCAACAGGATTTTCCTTCACAGCAAACTCCATTCTGATTTTTTTTTTTCATTTCTGGCCTCCTGTAGAATCCCTTTGGCACGGAGAAGGTGATGCACCTCTAAAATCAGTTCTCACTAGGTCTTCTTGACTCGGTAGCAATTTCAGCTTCCAGCAAGGCGACTCCTACCCCCTTAGGACTGATGATGGCTCTATTTTTTTGCTCATATAGGGACCTGTGTTACAGCCCATGCTCAGGAGGAGCTGGCAGAGCAGCCCTGGGTCCGAGTGCTCGGAACAAGCTGGTGCTGTTCAGGGGGTGTACAGCCAGCACATTGCCCAACCCTTCACACGAAGTGGAGGAAAGAGGAACATGAAACTGGTTTTCCTGTCCCCTTTGTACGTGCAAGCCTTTGGCATAAACCACTCCAGCCACAAGCTGGCTGGGCACATCTTCTGTTTGCTCCCCGTGGGACAATGGGGCTGGCACTGGGTTTTACCTGTCATGCACCACGTTCTTGCAGCTAAGGATAACTGTGATCCCCGACACTGTTGCCATCGTGGCTTGGACCGTCGACACCAACCTGAAACCAAGAGGGAGGAAACAGGTCACCCCAAATGTGGCCCCAGAAGGGCTGAGGCACAGGCCTGGCAGCACCTAGACACCCACTCCGTGCACACCCCAGGGTGACAAGGACACAGTGGGGTGGCAGTGCCAGGTGCTGCCTCCCAGGGACATGGCAGGGGGTTCCTGCCAGGTCTCGTCCCTTCCATCCCCGTGGGTCAGTGGTAACTCTGCCTATTCCCCGTGGGCAGAGGGGAGAGCTGCACTGGAGCATCCCTGCTCCGACAGCGGGTACCACGGCGTGGGTACGGCCAGGCAGGGCTGCCCATGCTTGTAGGGTCTGCCCAGCCTCGGGGAATGCTCATTCTGGGGGGATGTCCAAACTCGGGGGGATGCCCATCTTTGGGGGAATGCTCATCTTCGGGAGGATGCCCACCCTCGGGGAATGCTCATCCTCGGGGGGATGCCTGTTCTCGAGGAATGCCCATCCTTGGGGGGATGTCTATCCTCGGGATGATGCCCACCCTCGGGGGGATGCCTATTCTCGGGGAATGCCCATCCTCGGGGGGATGT